CAAGAGTCACATGCTCTTCCAACCAGCCAGGCACCAGTTATTACTTTAGACATTTCTGAAGAACTTAAAACTTTTTCCTCTATTGAGTATACACTATTACTTTTGTATTTCCTAAAATAGGAGATTCTTCTTTTTGCCAGCTGAATTAGAGTTATTTTTAACTGTAATACTCAACGCTCACAAAGATACATCAAAAGACACACATTCATGTAATGCGAGTGGGTATAAATTGGTACATAGTACCAAAGAGTTTTCTGAAAAGTTGTATCAAGGGCCTTAAAAGTTTTCAAAACTCTATAACCCAATACTCACACTCTTAGGACTCAATTATAAGAAAGTAATTTAACACATAACCAAGCATTTGTGCACAGATGTTAGTACTTTAAAATAAAAAAGGAAAGGAAAAATTTAAAAACAATGTCAAATAGGAGATATCCAACTAGGAAATGATCACATAATGAAATATCCTCAAATCAGCACACTTTAAAGTGCATTTCTAAAAGTACTTCACCCTCAAAAAAGCTACAGTTCCGAATGCTCCAGATTTGCTTCAAGTTTCAAGTGATCTGACAGCAGATCACTAACTTAGCTAAGTTTTCGATGACACAGGGGAATATTTATGATCCAATGCTAAGCCAAAAAAAGAGAATATGTAAATAACATAAAATACATTCTAACCCAAGCACACCATCCTGAATGTCAAAAATGGCACAGAAAACAAAAACTTGAAAGGAAACGTGCCAGTGTGAACTGGACAGAACTTTGGGTCTACTTCCTCCTACTTCTCTCTATTCTTACAAATTTCCAAATGTCTTCAGTGTCTGTGTATTACTTAATAAACGGGGAGAAAAAGTAACAGGCTGAGAGCAAAATATAAATCCACTGGATTTACCATTCACCAAAAACAGTAAATTTGTTGAATTATTAGAAGTGGAATCTGATTGCCCAGGGTTAAGAAATGAGTAGAAGCTACAGAAGGGAAAAACATGAAGACCAGATGCACAGGGCTGTGTGAAGAACAATCCCAAAAGGAGGCAAACTGGCAGTTATGTGCCAAAATATTAAAATGTGCAAACCCAATGCACCCTACATCTGAATGAGATTTAAAAGTTCATTTTTTCTTGTAATTTACAGATCTGACTTCTAACTGCTACCCTAATAATATGCCATACTCCTAGGACTATTAAATATGCAAACCTTGCCCTAGAAAACTCACATTTTACAATGAATTAGAGGGGTGCCTGGGTGGTTCAGTCGGTTAAGTGTCCAACTTCAGCTCAGGTCATGATCTCACAGGTTGTGGGTTCGAGCCCCGCATCAGGCTCTGTGACAACAGCTTGGAGCCTGGAACCTGTTTCGGATTCTGTGATTCCCCTCTCTGCCCCTCCCCTGCTGGCACTCTGTCTCTCTCTCTCTCTCTCAAAAATAAATAAACATTAAATTTTTTTAAATAAATAAATAATAAGATGAATTAGTGAATCTAAAGTTTCAAATTCTGCCATATTAGTTTTAAGCACTTAAATTCCTACGCTTAAGAAATATGACAAAGACCCTATGAGCAAATCAGCACAATTTAAAATAATTTCCAAGGCATTCCACCTAAAAGAGTTGTAGTTCTGTATGTTCCAGAACTCTTTCAAGTTTTAAAAATGACTAACCTATCACTATTGTTCGACAATCTTAATTGTTAAAGAAGACGATGCCAACATCAAGAATGGTATCGACTGCTATATCCAACAGCTTTCCACAAATTATGTTCCACTGGATACTCACGAGCATAAATAACAAATAAGAGTGGGAGGTCCTTTTATCCAATAAACTGGAAAAAAACATGCAAGAGCTTTTATATTAATGTACACCAAAATCTCTGAGGCAGTGCATTTTCCAAATGCAATCTCAGAAGTAAGTGATTCTACATCTTTTATTTTTTTTAAGTAGGCTCATGCCCAGTGTGGAGCCCAACATGGGGCCCGAATTCATGACCCTGAGATCATGACTCGAGCTGAGATCAAGAGTCCGAAGCTCAACCAACGGAGCCACCCAAGTGCCCCTCTGCATCTTGAATAAGTGAAACGTGGTTACCTCTTAATTCAAAAGGATAAAGAATGCTCCGAGGCTCCGAGGAGGACGGTGTGCTTGGGTAGACTGTCACTCATCTCTAACGGGAATGAATGGGAGGGCAGGGATGTGCGCAGAACAGCCAGCCAGGAGGCAGCCACGGGAGTCTGGAGCTCAGGAGAAAGGAGTAGGACACGAAAGTAGATTCACGAAATGTCGCCATGTGGGGGTCAGGTGAGGGCCAAGTACTGTGAATGCTGTTAACCAAAGAGAGCTTTCTGTTTTTACTCTAGATGCCTTGAATTCAATACAGAAGTTTTAAGAACTGATGACAAATATCCACTGCAGCGTTTGTTTACATATCTTCCCACTTCCCCAACTGAACGGTGCCATTAGCTTCTAGGCACAGGGATCCTTGTGGGCAGGCCACCTATCACGGTACGTTACAGTACCCGGTACAAGGCAAACGTGAGCCCAACAGTTGTTTGGCCACAGATAATTTTTTGTCCCCAAATTTAAAAACAATTCAATTTTACTTCATTTATAGTCTTATTTGTAAATATGCAAAAAGACCCTCAAATCTAAAGGGTATGAGAATACCCATATACACAAGTACTAGAGGTACAACAAAGTTTGACTTTAGCTTGGTGCTCAAGAAAAATCTATTATTAAAGCCTTTGCTTTTGAAAGACCAATCATCAGTCAACACCTAGTTCAACACACTTTCTAGCAGCTCTGGACCCACACCTAACCACCCAAGTGGGATGACAGAGCAGGGCATCGTAGCATCCAACCAACAGAGAGAGTCAGTGCCATGAAAGCCTAGGGAGAACAGAACACCCACTTTCGAGTATGCAGCAGCATTCCAGAAATAGCTTTCACGGAAGAACTCCTCGTGAGCGTTTGTGTGGTCAAAGTTCTATCAGGTGAAGTACAATAAAATGTGTGCACAGGAACACAAGAGTGACTGCTGCCTTAATTAATGATGATCAGGACAGCTGCTAATTTCGTGCTCAAAAACAATTACTAACCTTTAAGTCATTAAAAGGGAAATACAGCAACAGCTAATACATACGTAGAGAAAGTCAGATCTTCCTTCTTGAGTTTTTCCCTCATAAGCCGCTAAGTGTTAACTTTTAAAGAACACAAGGCCAAATGAGAGAGCCCGCATTAGATCATAAATCGAATCTTCGTAGAATTTTTGTGTTCCGGCATTCATAAAAGTGACTAGGTAACCTTTATAATAAACTGTTTTTACTCTTTAGACACCTCATGCCATCCGTAAGCCTTTCAAGAAGAAGGGCTGCCTGGGAACCCTTTGTATCTCACTCATAGAGATTAAAGGAGAAAGAAAAGAGCAACTTTGCCACGACCTCAAAATTTCATGCAGGAACATCTCCAACCCAAATCATTAACTATTCATGGATAAATCCTGGAGATACCCCACAAATGCTTGGTGTCTCTACTGACCTCGGTTGAAAGTGAACACCTACTTGGGAAAGCCAATGTGCCCTATGGCGCCCGACGAGCAATCCGCGGGCCGACAGTGCTGAAAACTGTTCCGGCACCAAAAGGTCAAACTTATAAAATCGGACGACAAAATTTTCATCAAATTCTAAAGTTTTTCTCCGTAAATGTTCCTACTCATTTCTCTAGGACAGTGACACTCAGCCTCGGCACCACGTTGACTTTACGAGCCCCTCAGCCAGAACGTGTACACGGGGCAGCTCTAGGGCGCACGTCTGAGAGCCGGATCAAAGAGGATTACCCAGTCACCTTTTACTTAAAAGAGAATTACCAGAAGATTCTGTGAATCCCGCATTAATGTAAAACATTATTTCATCTACAATTTCATTTAAAAATATACTCAAAACACATTTCTTCATTCAAAATAGTAGAGACATTTTTTTGAATCCCACTCTAAAGTCAAAAAGGTAATTTTTTTCCTTTAGAAAGCACAGATCACCAAAAACAAAAACCAGTCACAACAACTTTAAGAGCTACACCAGTAATGCAATTAAATCTCTATGTAAGGTTTATGTCATTACTTCTTTCCCAGTTAAAGACCACATTTTCAAACAGTTTATAAATATAATCCAATAAGACTATCCTGACAAAGTCTACAAATATAAGGCACTTGGTTCAACAAAAAGCCTCACAATCAGTGTGATTTAAAGAATATACAAGTTTAAAAGTTACCACTTTATCCATCAGCCACCCTGTAAGTTTCAAGAGTGGGAACACAGCCATCGATGGGCTAGCCTCCATTTTTCCATTTTCCATTAATAAGATCACCTCAATTAATAACTCAATCAAAAATACTCTTTCAAAAATGCCTTTATACTGCTTCTCCCATGTAAATACAAATAACAAAAGGATGAAAGAAAAGAAGGAAGGAAGAAGAGAAAGAGAGAGGGCTGGAGGAAAGGATGAAGGAGGGAACAAGGGAAGAAAAAAAACAAAATCCCAGACTTTATTTTTCCAAGGAATCATACACATGGGTATAATATCCTTACTTTAACTGTCAGTCTGAATTTAGATACATGAACACCTACTCCGTATGTCCTTAAAAGATCTGCTCAATCCTAATGGGGAGCTGAAGGAAACATGCATTCAACCATAAAGGTGAGTATTTTTTTGTTTTTGACAGAAGCGCTTCAATTTTACCAAAGTATTAGCCAACCAACCACTTTTGAAAAAGTCAAGTACTAGCAATTACTATGCTGTACTTGTGTTAATACCACACTACTCAGTCACTAATATCAAACAGATTCCCAAAGTCAAGTTTATTAAATATCACAACTATCTTTGTATTTATCGATCTAAATATAATTCCCCCCACTACGATGTTTATCAGAAAGCACCCACATTCAAAATACAGCACCAGTTCCCACATTCGCTCAGACAGCCATAGCTTTACTGTATTTCAAAACTTGAGTCACCTGTATGCATCGTCTTCTTTCAAGTCTCATATCATCCTGATGGGGTGGGGGGAGGGAGGGAAGAGTCCAGCAGCAAAACTATAACACTGTGTGAAGAAAAACAGATTATGATAAGAGATAAGGATGCAAGACAATCACCCCTAATTGAGGAACATCTAACGTAACTACAATCCCCAAAACAGAGATACAGTGACTGTAAACTTGTACACTAACATTTATTAAGCTTACTTGAAAATAATTTTCATTAATGAAAATCCATTATACATATATATAATGTAATGTATTCCACTGCCAGGGAGAAAAGGTTTCAAAAATCTGTCTACCACCCATGAAAACTTCAGGCATTTCTAGGTATGAAATAAAGTCAATATTTCACTCTTCTATGTAATTTATCTGGGGGGGGAATGCACATTTTGTAATATCCCTCAATTCACAAATCAGTATGAATGTGAATTCACTTCTCATCATGGCTTACTGTCAGAGGTAGTTCGATTTGCCTGACGGTTAAGATTAACTTGTCAATCTACCAAGGTTATTTGTCAATGAAGTTCTGAGACACTGCTCAACTGCCCCCACCTAAGCCCACAGGCCGCTTCTGCTCCCCAAGTGGCTTCTCTTACTTTACTGTAAGTCTTGCACTGGACTTCCTATTTACTGCTTCCACTGGTATTTCACAAATGAGCAGCAAACTTTATAGTGACTGATGGGAAGGCAATGGCAACCGCAATGTTATCAGCTGAGAGCAGGTGATAACAGACGAGAGACAAGGACAAGGACAGGCTACAACCCAACTTATAAATGAGTTCAGTCTACAAACCTACTTTTTCAACGGATACTGTGGAATTCAGTAAATATTACTAATGAAGTAATGCTGCTCACGTTGGCCAAGTTCCCAGGCCAGCCAAAAGAAACTTAAGTGATACTGAAAGATATTATTGGTCATGGGCACTGAGGACCCCTTAGAATACAATTGCAGATCCTCTCCCTATCTGAACAAAGTCTAAACTAGGTTGTTTTTCTTTGTTAGCACTCTCTCCGATCCTGATGTAATTCCCTAAATTTTACATTAGGGAATCCCAATCATCCTGCTTCCTAATCCTTTCTGCTAAGTAAGTTCTGTGTTCCTAAATTATTATCTAAAACTTCTACTGCCTCAGTGTGATTCACGTCAGGTATGTGACAGAAAGAAATCAACTAGACTGAAATAATTCACTTTAATATTTGCAACTTTCAACAAGGATGTGAGTTAGTCCAAATGAACCCCTAATTGGTAGAATTCTAATCATATTACAAAATAAAGGTAAAAACAACCAAGCTTGTTTGAAGAAAAACGTTTGTAGGCAAATGGTCACAGATTTGAATGTGTATTTATTGCCCTCAAATATGTCTGCTTTTCACGCATTTCTCCTTCTATTTTTGAACTCCCAAGTTCTTTGAAAGCTTGACATTTGTACTCCAAATAGCAGCAACTGTAAAGAGCAGCTCGGGGACAGAGGTTTAAATGTATGAATTATCTGTAACTTAGGAACCGCCTATGTCCAAAATCACTACCTACATTCCAGACTCCACTTCTAAAGAACCACTCTTCCAGTTTAGATTCTACGGTAAAACCTCAGACATGGAACCGACTGGTACCCGCTTTGAGGGGGTGGGTACGGACAGGTAGAGGGATGAACATTGAAGTACTATCTCAAAATAGTTTTATTTAAAAAATAATACTTGAAACCTCAAGATTAAGGATTTTTACATCAAAGACACTCTTCTAAAAATTTTTCACTCATGAATGGTCAAGTCTTTACAATTCCAGCATAGACCATGGAGACAAGAAATGTGAATTAAATCTCTAGCTATGAATTATATATATACTATCAAATCTCTTGGGTTCTCAACATCACATTCTTCACCTATAAAATGTTAACTTACAATGTTACCGACACTTTGCCAACTTCAATGGTTTCAAAAGGATAGACACTGCTGATATGAGAGAAAAATAATTCATACTTCATAAGAAAAAAAGCAAAAGCAGGTAAAGCATTAGCAGTCTTTTTATTCTACTAAAAGCAGTTAGAAATTAGCAGATTATTCCATCACTGTATTAAATATCTAAAGGTAAGAAATGCGGGCAGGCCAGCGGCACAATGGACTGCGTATCTGAGGATCGGAAGAAGCATGCCTCAAGCCTGTCCAATTGAGAAAAGTCATCCATTAATCACCACTCATTTGAAAAGCAGCCTTTAGCAAAGGGGAAAGCATCTCTACAAGTTACGAAACTTGCTGAGGACACACGCGGCAACCAAACCGTCATCTACTGAGCGATACTAAACTCCGTAAGTCTTGACCTTGGACTACTTGAAATTAAGATTCTACCGATAATTCCATATATCCTTCAGGCCGGTCACTTTTCAAAAAAAATCTGCTCCTACGAGGTCAGGGTTCTATGACAATAAGTAGGTAACAGCGAACACCAGATGGACTTTGCAAACTACAAACACAATTTTCTTTCTAAAGTCTGAAAATCCAGTCATATTTTAAATTCTTCTGAGAAAAACCCACAGTGAATTTTTCACCTTTCCCCCTACAAATGGAGTCATTCACAAATGATGGCGCTCAATTAGATGCTAATGAAAAGCCTCTACTCTCCCTACCACAGAAACCTCCTATAATCCTCAAGATCTTTTAGAGTATGTTTTAGCAAACATTTTGCCAAAGGCAATAAAACAGTCTATGAACAATCCAGAAACTGAGCTTAACGGATTTTTGAAGCTAAACCTACAAACCATTTGTTTAGTTGTCTGAAAATCACTGCATGAAAGTAACCTAGAGCACATCTGCAGAGACAGAATTTCAACGCACGGAAGTTTAAATGCACGGAATGCCCAGGTAGGCGTCAGACTCCATCTGTTAGTACGGGTCTCTCTCTACAGAGGGAAGGAGGGAGGGATAAGGTGAAGGAGAGGGAGGGAGAACACTGAGACACCTAATTAAAAGCAGTGACGGATTGAGATTTAGAAAATTAATGCTAATCCTCAAAGATCAAGATCGGCAAAACTGTGTTTGAAATGAACGCATTAGCTTCATATGGCAAATCCAGATTAACTCAGGAGTTAATGAACTAAGTGGAAGATACAACGTCTCCTCTCTGATGTCACAATGTTTTATAATGACACACAACTAAAACGTGTATGCAGTTTCAAAATAAATTAGTAGGTATATCACAAGTAGCAGGTGAAAAGAATCAGCCCGACACAGGCTTCGGAAGTACTGGTAGGGACTGTTTTATTTCTTAAGCCGTGTGGAAGCACACAGCTATTTTTTAAACATCTTTTAAATTTGCATGGTATGTATATTCGCACATGTGTATTTCACAATTAAAAAATTTAATCCAGGGGCACCTGGGTGACTCAGTCAGGTGAGGGTCCGACTCTCAATTGTGGTTCAGGTCATGATTTCATTCATAGTTCGTGAGACTGAGCTCCGCACTGGGCTCTGAAAGGACCATGCAGAGCCTGCTTGGGGTTCTCTCTCCCTCTCTCTCTGCCCCTCCTGCCCTCTCAAAATAAATAAACTTTAAAAAAAAAATTAGGGGCGCCTGGGTGGCGCAGTCGGTTAAGCGTCCGACTTCAGCCAGGTCACGATCTCGCGGTCCGTGGGTTTGAGCCCCGCGTCAGGCTCTGGGCTGATGGCTCGGAGCCTGGAGCCTGTTTCCGATTCTGTGTCTCCCTCTCTCTCTGCCCCTCCCCCATTCATGCTCTGTCTCTCTCTGTCCCAAAAAATAAATAAACGTTGTAAAAAAAAAAATTAATCCACGTGAAAAAATAAAATATAATACACAATAGGATTTAAAAGGGCAATTTAGATAGTTCAGAAGATGCCAATCTGAAAATAAGCTACCCACTCCCAAAACAGAATAGGCTACAAAAATGAAATCGGGGACTACAATTTGATTCCATGCATTGAAATTACAACATGATTATCTAAAAACTATCCTGTGACTGGTGTTCCTTGTAAATTTCTGTTCATTTACGCTAACATTAAGGAAAAGACAGAAGAAATGTCTTCTTTTTCCACGTAACAATTTTAGGAACACGTTTTCTAGAGTCATGATAACCAAAGGAGTCAAAGCAAAAAGAAAAGTTTTAAATATGGTTTTGATAACCTAACACAAGGAAAAGAAATCTATTAATTCTAATTCCCAATAAGATGACCAAATAACACAGACAAAAAAGCATTTTCGCTAACCAGGATTTCAGGTGAAATCCTTAAAACCAAGACGATTTAGGACTCCACCAAAACCCCTAGAAACAGTCATAGTCTTAAAAAAATTAAGGCAAAAAGCACAGGAGAATCCCAAAGAAATCTTGTGCAAAACGACAGGGAAAAAAAAACGTTCGCTCAACACCACGCACCAACCACTCGACTGAGACACTGTACACAGGCTGACACACTTCGTCTCCTGACAGCCCGACAAGTGGGCAATGTTACTTCCATTTCATCAATGAGGAGAGCCAATTCAGAGATCAGCCTACCTGGCCTAAGGTCACAGCTTGTGGACTCTGGTCTCACACCAAAATACCCCTCGTTAATAAGCGCTGAAACAGTCATGAGAAAATTACAAAGAGCCAAGAATCAAAGGGTGTCTATGTCTGATTTCTAGACCCCATACTCAATCTTCCACCTCAACCGTCCCAAACATAAAGTACAGTTCATAGGCAGTAAATTAATTTGTAAAAAGCATTTCAGTTCAGAAGAACAGAAAAGGAACTCTCCTCTAGTCTAGCAGAGAAAATCTGATCACAGCATATAACGGACTGATATATAGATTCCCTTTACCAAACAATATTAAAGGAGGCAAACTAAAAAGAAGGTATAAACCAAAAGCAGGTAAGTCACTACAGCATCAATGCCTTGGGCAAGATAAAAAAAAAAAAAAAAAAAAAAAAAAGGTTACAATTATAGGACTCCAATGGCATACTGGAAGTGAAGGTACCTGAGATACATACATGTTAAAGGAAAGAGGAAGATGTGATTTCTCATGACACTATGTGAAAAAAACACAACCCTAAGTAAACATTAAAGAGAAGGTTGA